AAAAAAAAACCCTACAACAGGTTGCTTTACGAAGTGGAATTGTCTGTACAGGCCAGAATAAACCTGTTGTAATAATCTGACAAAAAATTTGGCTAATTCTCAATCGCTGCGAATTTTAAAGAGTTTCTACGTAACAGCTGAAAATATATATATACATTTACCTTAGGTTAGTGTGCCTCAGTTGTTTTGCGGCTATGGTTTTTGGCACTTTACAGGGTGTGGCTTTTTCAGCGTTGGATAACTTTCAATTTCTTTTGCGCTTGGAATTCTCAAATCCATCAAACGCACTTGTTTCATCTTCAATAATATTAGACGTGTTTGAGAACCTTTTCCTAACTTCTTAACAGTCTAGTTTTAAAACATTTCAACTCTCGTGACGTTTCACACCTGCAACTTTCAAGTAGTGCGTGATGCGGTGGACAGTGAGTACATCAACTAGCCACAGTTCTAAATATACAAATGATTTAAATTCCTTATCAGAGCAAAATCTGTGGAATATGTATTTATGTATGAGTATGTTGGAAAAATCTCTAGGATCGGTTTTGGTCACAGGTTTTTGCCTTCTGTTTCTGCTTAAAGTGTGTATTCCAATGGTGATCAAACTATAAGCGCCGCTACAGCAACAAAAAATCATAGTAAAAGAGCAAGAAATAGCCGTTAGGGAAGATTGAATGCAGTGTCGTACAGTAATAACAGTATGTGGTCATTACTCGTTGCAACACACACTGCCAACAATGCCCACCTGTAAAAGGCCATAGGAAGTTAGAATTAGACTTTAGAACTAGACCGTTGAGAAGTTAGGGAGAAGAAAGCAGAAACGTTTGAAATTATCGAGATGAGTCAAGAGGTATTTGTGAATTGCTTTTTTGCTGAAAACCACTGAACAAAATACGTCTTGCTTGTTTCTCCAAAATATATGCTCGTGTCGAAATGTTCCCAAAAACTGTTTTTACGGTTCTGCCTGCTAACGGAGAAAAATTGCTAGCAGTATAAATACGAAAAACACGTTTATTTCATTGATGGCACTGGAACCTTTGGTTTTTTGAGATTCAAATGGAAGGCTATGACAAGTGTTCTTTTGTATTTTCCTTTTCCTGATAAATTTTTCGGAAAAGCAGAGGAGAATATGGTACAAATGAGTTTGTCTTTTGCCCTACTAATGTCAAAAAAAACTTTGGGAGTCAGTTTCAGAAGAAGAAGTAGATTTCTCATTGCTTGATGTAAGCATTAGGCTTGCTGAGCGCTACAGACACATCATGGCAGAGTTTTCTCAATTCTGCCCTAGTTTTCTAAGATTGCTATGCTGCTGAACTATACATTACAACATAGAGTCTAGATATAAGTTTAAATTGATCCCCGCCAGGTTAAAGCACTAGCTAACGATATCGCTTACGGTGCTAAGAGACAACACAGAAGTAAATAGCGTACGAAGCAGAGGCTAGGACGGCTGGTCTGCAGATTTGCATTATTACCGCGCGGGCACTTAGGAAACACTCATAAACAACGAGTAAAAGAGTGCAAGAATTTATATATTTGTAGGTCGTCGACAATCTGTTACCTGAAGTATTGATGTTTTTACAGTGTAAAGGCAACTTCTGACACACTGAGATCAAACTCGTGGCTGAATCTGTTGGGTGCACCTTTAACCGGTTAAGCTACATTAGCAATCTGCAGCTTGAGGTGTTTTTAGATATTATTGCCTTTGAAAAGTTATCAATTTGGTATATTACACTTGTAAACTGAATAAATTCACTCAGACTTGATGTAAAAAACTCAAAAAAAGGCTTCTGTAAACAAGCTTATTCTCACTTGGAAAAATTTTCATAACATTATGCTTTGATACGGTATCAAAATGCTGAAAATTTTTACGGTTCAAAGATTAATTGGTGATCTCGAGTCTTTTTTTAAATAGATAACTGTTTTATTTTTTTTTACTTATACTGACTTTATTGCCTTCCCGTTTTTTAACCGTCATTCAATAGTTATTTGAGGGTGTTTGCGAGAATATGGGATATGAAATATATTGTTATTATTACTAATATTAACATGTCTTTGTTGAAGGGGCCGCGGCATAGAAGAAGTAGGTAAGAGGTACAATTCTTGCATTAAATAGCTGCGATTAGGTTTACGCATTCTCCCATTCACCGAGGTTTAGCATTTACTTCAAGGTTCTTCACTATTGTAATTTTGGGCTGTACCCTTTCCATGCTTTTAGGAGTGGATTTTCAGCCATCGTGAGGATGGGACTGAATAGGTAGCTCCGGTCTCTGTCTTTACTAAGTTCATTTGTTGGTAGTGCAAGCTTAAGCGTTTACTCATATGAATAAGCTTAAAACACTTATACAGTGGAACGCAGTCATTCAGTAAAAATGTATCTGCCGCTAGCAGGGATCGAACCTACGACCTTGGGCTTATTAGACCCACGCTCTAACCGACTGAGCTACAGCGGCACCGATTGCGGGCCTCTGTAAGGATGACTTTTTGCTGCTTTTTGGGAAGGCATCGTATCAGGTTTATAATCAGCTTTTCAATGCATTCTCCTCAATCTCCTATTAATGCTTTAAGCAGAATTTTATTTAATTTTTTTTCTCGCCTTTTTTCTGCTTGAAAATTAAGAGGATAAGACTTACTAAAAATGTGAAATAATAGCCGCGCTTTTATTTTTTCTGGTAGATCTGCTTTAGAGAAGAAAAATGCATTCTTGTACTTTTCCAAAGCATATCTTTTTTTTTGTTCGTTCACAAGTTTAAAGAATTCGCAAGTGTGGTAAATTTATAGTGTATATCAGGGCTTTCTTCTTTCCGTTTAGGTAGCTTGACAGATTTTGTGAAAGTTGCAAGTTAAAGACCTTATTATGTTCTGCTTAGCTTCTGGGCAGATAATGGTATAAAAAATAAAGCTGCTTTTAAACTTTTTTGGACCTGAGATCAGAGGCGTCTGTGAGAACCAACAACATTTGTGTGACTGCTTAAAGATGATAGCTAGAGCAAAACAGTGCCGTTTCAAAGACAACTGAAGTATATAAATAAGCAGCACTAAAATGACTACCGCCACAAACAGAAGAGACGTCTAAACCCATTTAGAGTACCTGAAGTGTAGAAATATCTTTTTCTCGCATTATTTTTTTTCGTAATGTACTTACTGAACCATATCAGAAAGCTAAATTTAAGAAAAGTTTGCACCAACAATTACGACAACGTTTTTGATCAAAAGTGAGATGATAATTATAAATGTTTTTTGTTTTTTTCATTCAGCCATCTTCACTGCACAGTTGTCTTTGTCTGTATCTGTTGATAAAATTGTATATACCGAATAAATTGTGGCAAAAAAATTGGTCTATGTGTCGTAAAATTTATCCAAACAAAGTTCAGAAACCTTGGGGATTTCCCTTTGGCAGTCATAGCGCACTAAATTTGTGCAGTAGTTAAAGACGTTATCAAAAACGGCTTTGCAGTTTTAGTAAAGAAAACAAAGTTGTGAAACTTACTTTTGTAACAACAATTAAATGGTAGAGGTCGTATGCATAATTCGTACACCAGAAGGAAGTAAATATTAATTTTTAAAACTTTATCACATTACCTCTTTTGAGTAAAAGTTCTGTCACTTATTGTTTCAGAGAAGCATTTTGTTTGCGTGCTTTTTTACAGGACGGTAACTTATTTTATACATCAGATTGTTCACAATTAAGTGTTATGCTGTCTTTATCTGTTCATTTTTTACCAGTA